CAAATACATTTAATGGCGGCAGGTAATTTGCAAGTCTCAATTTTTTTTTACAGCAAATAGAAAATGAGATTAGCGATCACAAAAATGAGACTAGCAAAATCAAACTGGTGAACAAAAAACCCTGTAAACACAAAAATAAGCCTTTCGAATACAAAAAAGACCAAGACTCAGACATACTAACCCACGATAAAATGCTCCAAAAGAGAAATACTGCAATAACAGAACACAGAGAGCAGCAAAGTGCAAATTAACTGTAAATAAAAAAAGTCTGTCTCAAACACATAGATGATGTACAGAGGCCTTAAAGGGACATGGAGGGCAAAAACTACAATTTAAGTAATTCTGCAAATAAGAACCACACGACAGAAGAGCTCCAGGCCACTCCAGAGATGTTTATCAACCCATGCAGGGTCAGACCCTTAGTAAAGTTATAAATGTTAAAAGTGTTTTTTAAAGTTTCAAAGGAAAACTTACCTTTTCTGTCTTCCCTCCAAATGTTTTCTGGGCAAGCATTTTATGTTTTTTTGTTATAACAGCTGTCTTCATTAATTTGTAGCCATGTCTATAATCTGGTCCCAAATGAGTTTGTGATCATTTCCCCCTAGAGGCCTGGAGCACTTCAGTAATGCATAGATACATTAGTTTGCAGATTTTAACTTACATTTTTTTTTTTCACTTCTTGCTTTGTTTTCTGTGTCTGTGTTAGCATCATGTGGTAACTGTGTTTGGTTTTGCAGAATGTTTGCACTTTGCTTCTCTCTATTTTTTGTCTTTGCAACATTTCCGGTTTAGAGCCTTTTCCCTTTGCATGTATTTTGTTTGTATCTGAACTGGACACATTTTTTTGTCTCCTAGTTTAATTTGAGTGATTGCGTGCCTAATATTTGTCAATATTTCTTGTATTTCCTTGGCAATTATGCAATTGCAACCTTCGATCTTCACTTTACAATGTCCTTAGTGGAGGAGTCAAGGGAAGTGAGTTCATTGTCATAGCAGAGATCAGTTAGGGAGTGAAAAAATGCCCTGGGTCAAAATCATCTTACGACTGAATGACATTGACTAACAATTTAAAAGGCTTTGCATATAATGGGAACATTTTGTGACAGGCTTGTCTAATGTCTTAGGGAGCAACAGGACACTTGTAGAGTGGTCAATCAGTGTAATGATTCTAATATTTAAACAAGGCCATTGTAGATTATATTGTTACACTTCCTTTTTACACTATATTCTATGATGCTGAACAGAAGCCTCTTCAAACTGACAAACCTTGGATTTAACAAGGGAGAAGTCTGTTTTTTTGTTGTTTGTCTGTTTTTTTGTCAAGGCCATGAAAACAGTGGAAAAGATTTTAACTTTCAAAGGGTTGTCTTGGTTGTCGTGTACACAATATTTTTTTTAACTAAAAAAGGTTTTTAAACCTGCATGTTTGAATCTATTTATCAGTGGTGGTGTTGCTGTTTTTGCCTTATAATTGAGAGGAATGAGGCTGTAGATAATGTGGCTCTGATGGGGCATGATTCTCTGCCTGCAATGGAACACAGGAAAGATGCAGTTTGGTGTTTTTTTTTGGGAGGAGTTACTTCTTCTAACTCTGACGATGGATAAAAGTGGATTGTTTCCTCTGATAGATACATAAGTATTTTGGTGTCTGGTACAAGAGTGATGTCTTGAAGGGGCAAGAGAGGGGAGGACATACTGTATTTGGACCTTGTCTACAGTAATGAGAGTTGTACAATTTACTGCTCCATCTATATTCTGACCCAAAAACCCAATCTGGTCATGAGACAAAAGGAATCAGGTCCTGGAACCAACTGACTGGCATGCGGTGCCACTGGACTCAGCCTTAGGGATAAACCAATGAGCTCTACCATCTGGAGTAAAAGTGGTTCAGGGGTCTAATCAAGATGCCTCATAAGCGTCAACTTATGGCATATTCTGCAGTCATGTCCAAAAGTGAGAAAACCTTGTGACAGACCAACAATGAATCCTTTTGCTTTGAACCTGTTGTGAGACAATGAATAAACGGTTGATATTTTGATAAATTTGTTTTTGATATTTTTTTAGAAACTTTTAGTTTTACCCTGTCAGTAGTTGTGACTTTAAAGTATTGTGCAATGTACAGACCAATAATGTGTCTCCACCTTGACAGGTAAAGGCTAAATAGAGATTAGCCGTCTTATTAAAATTCCCTAATACATAAAACACCACCCACTACCCCCATACATCTGACCCTTAGAGGGCTCTCTGTTAAATAAGTCTAATTTTAATTTATTTAGAAACTCTGTGTAAATAGATTTCAATGTTTTTATGTTAATATAATTCAAACAGATATATGTGTTACTCTGTGTATATTCCAAAGTAACTGGCGTGATCACTCTATTGGGCCTTGTTTTAATCAGATTAGCAGATTAGAAATGTTGGTGCAGATTACTTTATAACCCAGATTGAGGGTGAGGAGAGGGATTCCTCAGCAGAGTTTTGGCAGTGACAGACTGCTACCTGTGAGCATTGGTAAGTACCTTCCTGCTCTATAGGTTGATTATGTTAACTTGAATACTTGAACCAAATCACGTGTTTGTCATGTTAGTTTAGTTTTATCTAAGTGAACATTTACTTTTCTTTGACAGAAAATGCCGGTCATAAATGTGGAGGACTTGACAGACAAGGACAAGGCTGTTATGGAAGTAACTCAACTCAAAACTGAAGTAAAGCTTGAGAGGTGGTTGGTAAGTTCTTCTTATCTTCAATTATAATTGGTATATTATGATTTTGATCTAGACATACAAGGAAATATTATGTATATCAGAAAAATAATAATGTAAACTAATTTTCCACTCATATGTCTGATCATTTTAGACATCTAAATGCTGTGAGGAAATCAAGGAATACATTCAGGCTGGGGTGGAGGAGGACATCCTTGTCAAAGGCATCGCAGAGGACAAGAACCCCTTCAAGGAGAAAGGTGGATGTGTCATCTGCTGAAATGGACCTAAGGAGCTTTTCCTATCTCAGATTAGTACCCAAGGACATTCTCCCTCCTCTTGTAAAGTGGATTTGCAGACTGAGAAGACTAGAAGGACATGATAAAGACAGAAGTTATAAAACAGCACAAACTACCCTGTATATGAATGAATTTACCTCTTTTGAGGATGCAGATTTTACCAATTTCACCCTATGAACAGATGCTAAAATGAGAGTTTTTGTTCTGCATGAGTTCTTATAATAACAATGCTTCCCTTTCATGTTACATATATAGCTTGAATAAATGGGCCTGTGTGTTATTTCATAAACTTAAGCAATTGTCATTAATCGTTTATATTTATAACTCATCTTTTCTCTGTGATTCCCAAACTGGCTTTTCAAGTTAAGCTAAATAATAGATGTGTATTCCCTGTTATTTTGAGTTTTTTTACTTTCTGTCACAAAGAAATCACGTTTATGAAAATCACAGGAAGGCATTTTTATAGTATAGCTGATAATGTAACATATATTCCTAGACATAGAAAAGCAATAATCTGCTCCATACTGTTAGTTTTTCAAATCAAACTAGAGCCTCAACTTAGTTTACAATCTGATATTAAATACTGCGTCATTGTAAAGTGGGAGAAATAATATATAGAAAGATTTTTTCAAACATATCCCGAGAAGTGTGTTGTGGTTCCATGCAAATAATCTAGAACCTCGCTTTCCAAAGTTAGAGTCACGAGCATAGGGTCGTGTGATTTTTTAAAGGAATTAAACTAATAAAAAGATAATAATGACACATTTTATGTGTGTGTTTAAAGAAATTAAAACATAACTTACAAATAGAATATATGTTTCTATATCAATAGTTGGAAATGTTTGCATTTGAACCAAAAGTTTGGTCATCAGATCATTGTGGTACTATTTTGTGGGTCAGAACATCTGATCTAGAGAACCACTTGCCTCAGTGCTACTATTTCAGCCATATATAGGCTACTTCAAAGAGTGTGCTGCTGCAATTGCACATATAAAGGCAGACCTACGCTCTGCACAACAGACGGGTCAACCCAATAATCAAGTTTTGTGAAATATTTCTTACCATAAAAATAACAGAACCATACAGAAGTAGATTAGGGCCAGTGAAAAAATGTGAAAGGTTAACTGAGTTTTACATTTTATTTCAGTATAATATGAAAAAGAACTCAGAATTCTGACTTTAATCTCAGAATTCTGACCTTAATCTGAGAATTCTGACTTTTTTCTCATAATTCTGACTTTAATCTCAGAATTCTGACCTTAATCTGAGAATTCTGACTTTTTTCTCATAATTCTGACTTCAATCTCAGAATTCGGACTGAATTCTAACAGCTAACAAACATGTTAGCATCAAGCCGTAGCCATGTCTGTTTTAAAGACTAAACTAGCTCTCATTAGCTCTTGTTTTAATCACCTTCTGCTCTTCCATTAATGAAATAGCATCCCCAGTGACCCCTCGGGCATGTAAAAATTCGCCTAATTCTGTCATTTTCCACCAGTGTGTTACTGGCCCTCCCAAACTACTCACATCTTTGTCAGTGAAGCTGAGTGCTCCCACGTCTCATCCTTTATGGTGCCCATCTACATTAAGATCCAAAGTTCTGAGATTAAAGTCAGAATTCTGAAATAGAATAAAAAATCTGAAATTAAAGTCAGAATTCTGAGAAAAAAGTCAGAATTCTGAGAAAAAAGTCAGAATTCTGAGAAAAAAGTCAGAATTTTAAGAAAAAAGTCAGAATTCTCAGAAAAAAAAATCCCAATTCTGAGATTAAAGTCAGAATTCTGACTTTTTTCACATATTAAACTGAAATAATATTTAAAAATCAATTAGCTTTTTTTTTTTTGTGGCCCTAATCCTCTTCCGTAGAACCAAACATGATAGAAGTGTCACAATATTTGCGACACTCAACAGAAGTATTGCTTTATATTGTTACTGAAGTTTCTGTTGAACTTTTGCATTGATCCTGCAGCATGATAATAAAAAAGAAGAAAAAAAACCGCGCGCATGCGCACTGAACTGTCAACGGCTATGGCGCGGCTGGAAGGAGCTCAGCGGCTGAAGCTGCTGCTTTGCAGTCGCTACTCGCACAGATTCGCCTTGTTTCCAGGCGTCCGCTCGTTCTCTGAGCGTGTGTCATCCCAGTCTGTAACGTCCAAACCCCCTGAGATCGCAGACGACCATTTAATCTACACACCAGAGCACTTTGCGTTAAAGGAGGCCCTCAGAAAGGTATGCAGGGGTTCCAATCTACATCTAAGCTAACATAAAGGGCAGATAACAGCTTTGCTCTGGGAAACCAATGGGAATGTTCTGGAAGGGAACCATAAGTGTTTTATCAACTCGTTTCATAATAACGTGTTATTTTGTCTACTAAAAGTAAAGGAAACTAAAGGTTTCGAGGGAAACTGGGCGAGAGGTCATAGTTTAGCTTGTTTTGATTCCTCAGTGGCGGTTCTAGACAATAATATACCAGGGGGCCCAGGTGTTTCCATGGGGGCCCAGAAATCATGAAAAAAGAAAGAAAGAAAAGGGACTGAAATATATTAAGGTAGCTGCAGGAAGTGAAATTTCTATTCAACTAGGTTTAAAATTATACGTCTTATTAGGTCAATATACATTTATAATTTAGGAATTTTACATATTTTTTACTTGAAATTAAAATGACAGTTTTCTATAAAATCTGAAGTAGAACTCAAGAAAAACTGATAAAATCAGCTGGAAAAATTTGTGGGTTTTTTTGTTTTGAAAAAACATTTAGCAGATGAAAACTGGATTATATCTAAATACCACTGAAGCCGTCACCTTATTGTTTTTAAATAGTTAGTAAAACAGAATTTGTAAAGGAAAAAAAATGTAATAGATCAGTAACCATGTCTGTTTCAGCACATATCATCATTAGAATTTCTTTGAGTATTATGTCTTCAGTACAGGGGCCATAACAGGGGCCAGGACATGATCTACAGGGGCACTGGCCCCTGTCTAGAACCACCCATGCTGTCTGTCCTTCACTGCAGAGATCCATGGCTCCCTCAGATAAACAGTTCCTCCCTTCCCGCTGCCTCAGAGTGGTATCCATCATTGTGTCCATGTTTGATCTGAGAAATTCGCTCATAACAGTCTGAGAGCCTTTTTAATGACACACCTCACACTTTCAGATAGCTGCTGATCATCAGCTTCAGTCATAATCTCACATCTTTTTATTGATAGTGTCAAATATGATATGCAAACTATAGTATCTATCTAGACACAGAACACTTTATTAGCTATATTTTGAGCTCAAAGCACGCATAGATAACCTAATCTAGTTCATACCACAACTCTTACTTCCACAATATGTGCTACACTCTATTTTTAGAGATTTTTTCATTGTTATTATAAGCAGGCCAGGTGTGCAATCTCTGCAAAAGGAACCGGAGCACCGAGCGTTGTGTGCGCTGCGCAAAGTATACCTGTCGCAAATGCAGGAAGGACTCACCTTGGGTTTGCGGAAACTGCTAAATGGGACATTGTAGCTTCATATGATGCTGTTTGTCATCTTCTAAGCTGAAATGTTGAATGACGTGAAAAGGTGAGACAAGACTAAATACAATTATTCTCTACGTTGTTCTTTCTTTCACATAGTGAGCTTTGCAATATAAATGAGTCTGTTGGTGAATGGACAATATAAATTGGCTCTACCTTGCCTTGTTGGAAAAGCATGGTTATGACCTTTTCTCAGCTCAGGAACTAGGACCTGTATGATATCTGGTTGTTCAATAGGTTTGCCTAAATAAAATATTTAGATATGACTTAACAAGATATTCCTGCAAAAAGGTCTGATGTTGCAGGTGCCAGTAATGAAAAGTGTTTCAAGCATGCTATTTTTCTGATGCCAGTTTGTTTCAGCCTTATCCAGTCTCATGCAGAAGGGCTGGTCATATAACAGGTTATTAGCATTAAAACAAGGACAGTTAGCAAGGTAGAGTGAATACACAAACTTGCAGAGAGGAGGGGGGCTTGCAGGAAAAATGAAATTCTCTGGGACTTCTAGTGTTAAAAGAAGGGTTGTAAGTTTCAGTTTGAAATGTTTTGACTTGCTTTTGAATAGGTTGAGAGACTTGACATATCTGAGGAAAGGTGTTGGTTGTTTTTTTGTGGTAATAACTTGGATTAACATTTTAAATACAATGTGAATCGCAAGTTTAATACTTTGGATGTAAAGACATTTCTTTCCTCAGGGCAAAAAATTTTAAGTTTAATGCAGTTTTTTTGTGAAACTTGGGTAAGGATTGGAGATCTGAGAGAGGAGGTTTGATTTTAAAGATGCACCTTTTTTATCTCCCAATCACCCCCCTTCTACTTCCTCTGACAACCTATAAATAAAGTTCTTTAGTCTGATAATAAAATGGGGCTTTTTGACCATGATATTTCAGGTATCAAAGTGAGTTTGAGATATTCTATAACCAATAATAAAGAGCAATTTGTGGGAAAAAAAGCACAATAATATGGTGAAGGTGAGAACTAACAAGATAAATAAACATCACCCTTCTGGCCTTTACATGACCTGAGGTTAGTGATCTGTAGTAGTTCTGCTCAACTGTTGTTTATTTTTTTTTGTCTTCATGTTTTTCCTGTTTGTAAGGTTTAGCTGATAATTAAAATGTTCCAAAGTAAAAAAACAAACAAAAAAAAACTCATAAATACAGATTTAAAAATGGCAAAATGGTCGGTATACTTTTTTTTTAAGGCAGGATAATCTACCTTGGTTTTGCAGAAGTGTCAGACTATCTAACTCTAGATCAAAAGCAAATATAAAATTAATCTCCAATGCAGAAAAGCTGCTTACAAGACCTTTATGTTCCTGCCCCGGAATATATAAAAAAAAAAAAAAATAAAATAAATATTGCTTTTCTTTTCTCAAAATGTCAGAGCTACTTTAAGATGCATTTATAAATTCCGCCTTAAACACCTAGTTATTTTAGCAAAGAATTAGGCTGACAATTACTAAACAGTGTGACTCATTTTTCAGATTCTTATTACCAGACATAAAATGGAAATCAGCTTTTATAATAGCAACAGGAGTCTCAAGAGACAGGAAGCAGAAATGTTGCACAATGCCAAGGGAAGCTTTTGTCTGGCTAAACATTTTTTTTTTTAAGAATGCCAGGAGGTTGAAAATCATCTAGCACTGGGAATAGGAAAGGATGAACACGTGAAAAGGAAATTCAGAACAATACAGTTGCATTGCAGGAAGGGGAACTTGAGTAATAACGTTTTATTTAAAGAATTCACTATACACTATTGTATGTTTATAAATGACTTGCCGTTGTAGAAACTCCCTTGCTCAATGCGCAAGGTTACACTCGAAGAATGCCAGTAAATCTAAGATTAACTTTATGTTGTAGACTTTCATAGTCCTGCAAATGTCCAGGTACCGACCAGAGCTTGCATTCATAGCAGCATCCACTGTCATTAAACATAAATAACAAAAGTCTTCCTTTTAGAGTTTTAAGAAGCAGTTAGTCATGTGCAGCTCTGATTCAGTTCAGCTAAGGATTTCCCACAGCTGAACACAATCATTTGGAAAGGCAGCACCGAAATATCACTCTTAATAGGCTAATACTGTTTTAAAACTATAGTTGCTATGGCATTTATGAAAACTGCTCGAACTAAACACCCCTTCAGTATTGTAACCTCAAACTATCCTTATCATCCACCTATTAAAGTTTTAAATCTTTGATTTGTCTGAAACATTTCTGTATTTGAGGCTAATGCTTCTATTGGCTTCTGGAATGAGTTTGTGAGTGAACAAATCTTGCTATAATTCATCTTGCTCGCAAGGTGAAAGTCCTTGATGCCTGAATCAAAGAAGTGAATTACCTCCTTCTGCTCTCAAGTTCTGCAGAGTTTTGCTGGGGACCAAATTATGCGATTCAGCTGTGAGGATGAAGCGGCACATAAAAGACGTTTCTGGACAGCAGCCCTGGAGAAGTGGAGTTTGATATGTGTGCCCCACAGGACTCTGAAAGTTGTCTTCCTTCATTTGAGTTGCTTTTTCAAAAAGCACAAGGTGTTAGTGTTTTCTTGGACCTATTAGATCTAATAACTGCCTTTACTACATTATATCATCAGAATCTCCTTTCCTACCTAGAGTTGTGGCCTAATAGATTGTTTTACGTCTTACGTAACAGTTTTTGTGTCACTATTTAGGATTGGGTACCGATACGCCAAATCAAAACAGCCCCGGGGCCACATTGGACCGCTACCTCATATTGATAAGCTTCAGCATTATTTGCTCTCATATCAGTATTATTGGGTTGCATTCAACTTTTTAGAGAGATTCTATCTCCAATAATATTGTATTGCTAATCTGCTCCTCATTAAGAAGCAAACACACCTAGTGGACCGATGGGAGGGGCTAAAGTTATGCTCCTATGTTCTCTTTGCTTACTGCAGACATCCCAAGTTCCAAAAGGTCATTTCAGGGAGATGCATAACACTCCAGCATGCAATGCACCTCGCCACGGTGTCATCATTCCTCACCATGGCCGGTTCTATACAGGGGCCAACGGGGGCCAGAATTTCTAATGATGATCTATGCTGGAACAGCCATGGTTACTGATATGCCCTTTGGATCTATTTCATTGTTTTTCTTTACAAATTCTTTTTAACTAATTATTCAAAAACAATAAGGCGATAGCTTCAGTGGTACTGAGATAGGATCCCAGTTTTCATCCGCTAAATGTTTTTTTTCACAACAAATAAAAAAAAATCCTCTAATTTTTACAGATTAATTTAAGTTTTTCTTGAGTTCTAATTCAAATTTTATAGAAAACAGTAGTTTTAACTTAAATTAAGTCAAAAATATGTAAAATTCCTGAATTATAAATGTATATTGACCTCATAAGAAATAGAATTTCTATTGAACCTAATTGAAAAGAAATTTCACTTCATGCAGCTCTCTTAATATATTTGAATTCCTTGCCCTGATTATTTATTTCATGCTTTTCTGGGCCCCCTTGAAAACATGCTGCCCCCTCCTGGCCCCCTGGTACATTTGGTCTAGATCCGCCACTGTTCCTCACCTTCACTAGACGTGGATATACTTTAGTATGTTCTGCCGTAAAATGAGTCCTATATTTTCGTTTTTTTACTCGAGGATTCAACATCTCCTGTGTTACAGGATGCACAGCTTTGAGTGGTAACTAGGTGACTGCCAGAGAGTAACCCAGAGAAACTTATCGGACTGATCCAATCAGCTCTCTGACAACCAGTCACCTGGAACGCTGGTTGAACAGTAGCCTGACGTAGTCCTACTCAATTCTAGTCAGAATATGAGTCTGATACTGCTCCATAGAGCTGTGATTATGGGGCGTGTTTCGAACGAACCAGGAAAAAAAATGCCTCTGCACTTAATTGGATAGACCTACAACCAATAAGAGCAACGGAGTGCGTGACGTATGTTAAGCGACGCACTAAGTTCGGAATGGGACCAGGCTAGTTGAACAGAGCATCGCTGCACAGGTTTCACCAGCAACCTCCTCCCCACACCCCGCTCTCTCTTGTTGTTCCTGCGCAATCGCAGTTGTTCTTATCCGCACATGGTGCACGAATTATTGCCTGCCCGCTCTTACTCGCATTAAAAAAATCCACCTCCCATAGTCTAAAATCCGTGATAATTTATCCGACTCGCGGGAATCCGTGAACAACTATCTATATCAGGGAGACTCCTGGAACTTCAGGGAGACTTTGGATGTCTGTTACTGTGATCCATTGTTGCTATATTTGGAGACTTGATTTTTTATTTAGATGAGAAATCTGGTGACTTTTTCTGTTTTTTTTTTTTTATTTTTTTAACTTTTATTATTTTGGCAGCAACAGGTTAAAGCATTTTTTTTGGTGTTGTTTTGATTCTTTATGAAACTTGGTGTTAAATGTACAATGAGAACTCTATAAATGACATCCAAAACATTCAAAGCTTTTTGTTACTTTTTTTTTTCTTATCATTTTGTTTGTTTAAAAACAGATGGTATCGATAAAATCAGAGCATCATTTTAAGATTTCCATCAGTGCTTTTTTAAACGACTCGTTCAGATGACTTCGATGCTCTTCACGCTGGTCTTTGCCAAACCTTAGTGGCTCGACAAGCTCTGGCCTAAAATACTGCTGCTTATTTCAGCCAGTTTGTTTTCAGATTGATTTTAAGGTTACTTTAGTTGCTTTTAACAGCATTCATGGCCTTGTCGCCCCATATCTATAACACCTGCTTCATCTGCACGCTCCTTCTCGCTTGCTAAAGTCCACAGATCAGTTATTAGTGGTTCCAAATACAAAGAGTGCAGAGATGTGATTTCCTTTTTCCTTGCAATCACATTACCTTGACAGATCCGGCACGCTGACTCACTCTTTTAAATTTTTCTCTCTTAAACACATCCTTTACTCTTCTGCTTTTTAACTAAGTTGGTGATTTTGGATTTTTTGTTTGTTTTTCTTTTCTTTTTTTAAGTACTTGTTTAATTTTTATTTTGGTTATGTATTTTTAGTTTGGTTTGCTTTAACATTTCTTTTTTTCTTAGATTTAGGGTGTTTAAAGCTCTTTGGCCAGCTGAATTGTATTTTTAAGTTACAAGCTGAGTTAAGTAGCATGTTTTTTTTATAACATAGATCCTCTAAATTATGAAGGACCAACTCTGCCATATTTAAAAATAAATACAGAAATAAATAAATGCTCAATAAATGTATAAGCATACAATTAATTGCCAACAAAAAAGTGAGACATAAATGTATATAACTCTTAATTAGCTTCTTTATTTATTTGCCTTTGTAATATTTACCTTATTTATTTTTCTGTCCTTTATAATCTTCAACTTTATTTTTTAATTACTTATATTTTTAAGTATTTATTTATGTGCATGTTATAATATTTTTGTCTGTTTTATTCTTCCTTTGTATTTTCTTACCTTAGTTATTTCTTCGCCGCTTTTTATTTCTCTCTGCCCTTTTTACATTTCTCTATGCATTTTTCCTCATTATGCAAATGAGGAGGGGGTGTGTCCTAGAGAGTCAACTTCTGCTCATTGGTTGGCTTGGCGGCCCATCTTCTTAACTCACAGAGCTCAGAGTACTAAGTTAAATGTTCTCTTTTCTGTTGCTGTTGTTCAATTAAAGTATGTTTTAAGATCATTTGAGGCGAGAACCTTATACTTTTAAGCATCACCATATGGCCCATTAACAGATTTAATGCGTAATTTAAAAGAAAATGTGACGAACTTGAGAGGACCGCGGCACCAGCGGAGCTCCGAAGCTGACGGCAGCCAGGTCTAACCACAGCCCATCTGCAGCGGCCCTCTCTCGGCATAGCCGTTTGTGAAGCGTGTTGGTTAGCATTTTACTACATCGGTCGAATCTACAGGAGGAGAGTCTGATGTCGAGTCTGAAGTCATTAGAACTTGAGTAGGGACTTTGCCAAACTTTGCCAAATACAACAAAAAATCGCCATCATAGCCTGGCTATAGACCTGGCTGCCGTCAGCTTCGGAGCTCCGCTGGTTGCCACGGTCCTCTCAAGTTCGTCACATTTTCTTTTAAATTACGCATTAAATCTGTGAATGGGCTATATGGTGATGCTTAAAAGTATAAGGTTCTCGCCTCAAATGATCTTAAAACATACTTTAATTGAACAACAGCAACAGAAAAGAGAACATTTAACTTAGTACTCTGAGCTCTGTGAGTTAAGAAGATGGGCCGCCAAGCCAACCAATGAGCAGAAGTTGACTCTCTAGGACACACCCCCTCCTCATTTGCATAATGAGGAAAAATGCATAGAGAAATGTAAAAAATGCATAGAGAAATAAAAAGCGGCGAAGAAATAACTAAGGTAAGAAAATACAAAGGAAGAATAAAACAGACAAAAATATTATAACATGCACATAAATAAATACTTAAAAATATAAGTAATTAAAAAATAAAGTTGAAGATTATAAAGGACAGAAAAATAAATAAGGTAAATATTACAAAGGCAAATAAATAAAGAAGCTAATTAAGAGTTATATACATTTATGTCTCACTTTTTTGTTGGCAATTAATTGTATGCTTATACATTTATTGAGCATTTATTTATTTCTGTATTTATTTTTAAATATGGCAGAGTTGGTCCTTCATACTAAATTATCCAAGCAGCGATTGTGCAAAAATATTTTTAGGATATGAAAATCCTCCACATTTAGAATACCTAGTACAGTCAAAATCATCAGCTTTCCAAACTGAACATGCTGAAACTCTGCGTAACACACATTTTTTCACCCTTTATTACTTAAAGATAGTGAAATAATGTGAAATCTCTCAGCTATGTCAGACAAGTTGGGCAAAAAAGCTTTACTGAGGACATCTAGGATTACTCCCCAATGACCTTTTATGTTTTGCTTTCCAGCAGCAATGTTCCTCCCTTTTCCTCCTCAGTATCTTAATTTTGAACACTGCAGGTTGCGAGATAGGAATACGTGTTTTCTTAAAGACTCTTACAATTTTTTTCTTCTTTTTTTTGCCTAATTATGGTTATCTAGCTTTATATTTGTGTGTTTTGTAAGGAACTTTTTTGCAATTTTGGTAAAAACATTTGACTGTTTTCAACTGTTCATCAGAATTCCTTTACTATTCTAGCCTCTGTTAGTTCGTGGCTAAAAAGGTGAAGAATATTGTTTTCTTAAAATGAAATGGTCTCCTCTATTTAGGAAAAAAAGAACTTTATTTAGAGCATTACATCAAGCTACAAAAAGAAGTTGAGTAGATGCGCATTTTTTTGAAGCATCACACTGTAAAAGATTTTAATTTATAAGAGAAAATTAGTTATTAATCTTAATAACAGTGTTTTTAATATATAAAAAGGAATGTTGCATTTTTGAGTCTTTAGTTTTAAGTCTTTCTTGATTAGAAGGGCTAGAGTTTTTATAGGACAGGGTGACAGAATTTTACTGTAAAAATCACCATCTAACTTGTGATTTTGCTGTTGTAAAACAGTAGCAGTGTAATTTACTAAGCAAACCTCCAGAGCTTATAAAGAAACATAAGAGACCCATTTTAGAAAAGCAATTACTCATACAGCAGGCCTGCATTCACCTGCTTTACAGATACATTTGGTACATGTAGCTTTCAAATATGCTTTTATTAAGCAAGCAAAAAAATTTAAATAGCTGTTTTTAGTTAGCTTTCTAACCAAAAACGTGCAATGACGGGCAGGAGAGCGGCCGCACTTGTCAGTCTTTGCTCCTTATAGACAGACTGGTTATTCCAACCCTTCTCTCCAGCATCCTATTTGTGGTTTTTTAAAACCGTAGCTTTTGGAAACCTGTTACAGTTTTATTACCAATATTGTTCTGTTTTTAGAAATTTATTTTTTATTTCTGACCCAGTTTAGCTTGAATCTTTAGTTTAGTCATAATAAAATGTAAGGTAAGTAAACAGAGTTTAGCTTGTCATTGTAGGAGAATAGTTATCTTATGCTGCTTTTGGTGGCCTTACATTTTGGTGGCCTTACATTTAAATATTCATTAAAAATATCTAGTTTTTTAGCATCTGCTGCCAATGCTTTGTGGTTTCAGGAGCTACATGGGGGTATGATTTTCAGTTAGTTGCAAAATGTGTTGAATTATTACTCATGTTATACTTACAATCGCACCTTAAGAAAAAAGTGTTTCGGAAAAAAATACTCATGGGTTGAACATAAGAAAGAAATCTTGGCATTCAACACCATCTTAATTGCCCTAACATACTGTATGCCAATTCCCAGTTCCTATAGTTGGAAAATCCCACATGATGGATTCTGCAGTCTGCTTTCTCTGATATGTAACAACTTGTCTCTGTCAGCGACTCTGTCACATAAAAGCCACACATCCATGATAATGTGTTTAAAGTTTGAATTACTTTACTAAAGTAATGACATATAGCATTCTTATGCAGATATATCAAATGCGTCCAATAGATTGTTTTATTTGTGCTGCAGCTCATTGACCAGGAGATTAACCCTTATGTGGATCAGTGGGAAGCCGAAGGGACGTTTCCAGCCCACAAAATCTTCAAGTTACTGGGAAATGCAGGCTTTCTTGGAGTCAACAAACCAGTTGGTAAGTTGATAATGTTTTGCCCCATTTACCCTACCCCTCCAAAACGGATCTGTATCGAGTTCGGACCAAGCTTGGATCAGCTATCCGTGCTGAGCTTGGTTCCTACGACCATTTACACATCATGCTAGCACGGTTCTTTGCCTCCTATTGGCATTCCATGATATTACAGCTCTCAAGGTGGGAATTATGCAAGGAAAAATGTATGCGCCCATAACATTCAGGAACTTAATGTGCCTGGCTAGTGTCCTCCAACCATATTTCAATGAGTGCCGTGCTGTCAGCATCATCCTAGGTCACACCAAGCACATTTGATTTATTTATTTTTAATACCCTGAGAAGAAATTCCAGTTGTGAACAGGTGATGAGATCTGTCAATTGCAAAGCCAGACATGCTGGAAAACCTGCAAAATGAGTCAGCTGTTCATTTACTCTTTCTTATAAGAAAACCGAGACTCAGATGAACCATGCCAAGCCCTGCTGTTGAACTAGTACTAGATTTAGCGCGGTTCCGTTGTGTCTGGCACGGCCCACTTCAGTTGCTTTCCATTTAAATTCAGCAGTTATCTTGGTTACCATGCTCGGTCTGTTCTCGGCATGATTCGGTCTGTTCTCGGCATGATTCATAAGAGTAGTGTAATTGGTACTTTACACTCTATTTCCAAATGTTCCTGGGTCTCACCTGTTATGTAGCCTGTTATGTAGCTTGAACAGAAGCACTAGTCAGCCAGTCATTAGAGTATAATACAAATGTGGATGCACAAGACCCAAAGAGACTCAACTGAAGAACATTATTTACTCTAACCAGTTTCTCATCTCTGTTAAAAAATTACATTAAGCAAAAAAAAAACATTACAATGTTTAAAATATTATTTAGTTTATGTGCTAAAACATGAGGTTTGATGCAATTAAAAGTCAAAGAAAATGCAATAAAGCACACTCTGACCAGGGTCTTAGCTCCCTCAAGATGTTTAAAAACCAAATATAAAGTGTTCCTCATGCATCCTCCACACATCTCTATGATCTGTAAGCAAACCATAAAAAGTCCAGTTTATCCTGCATCATTTCGAGAAGAAAAATCCCCTTTGGCATTTTATTAAATACCTTTATAACAAGAGACATTTAAGCCAATAAATCTTTGGAGATCGGGAATATAAAGCTGAAAATATCTGCAAGTTGAAAGGCAGAGGTTTTTAAAAAGCCATCTGGTTTATCATCTTCTCTTTGACCAAAAGAAAGACCTTGAAGTGAAGTTAGAATAATTTTTACAGAACTCTCAGCTATGTCAGACAAGTTGGGCAAACCAGACACCTTACAAAAGTCATGAATATCTGCATTAAACACACAGTTATTTTTTGTGGAAGGCAGTTGGACATTTCGCAAACAGAGAGGAGTTTGTTAATAAGTGTGGGTTTTAATATCAGATAGGCCTGAGTACAAGCCATGCATGCTGGGTTAGGACTTAACATTCTTGTTGAAAAAACCCCCCAAATTTTTCACGTTGATAACTGACATTCTTGAAGAGATGTTTTCTTTTCCGAGTGGGTTGCCCAACATTTCTTAAAATAGTGTTTGATTTGTAAAAAATCCCATGTACTTCACGAACTGTATCTGAAAGGCATTTCTAGCCATAATTGCATACGTATCCCTGTGAATTTCATTTGGTGAACGACAGACATGAAACCAGATTAATCATCTCATCCTCAGTCTAAATGATAAATGTTCTGTATCCGTTCTGTTTGTGATTCCATTTCAAAAACCTTAATAAATCAATAACACATATGAAGTCTGGAAAATCCTGGTCAACGCTTAAATATTGCTTTGAATGATGACATCTTGGACTGGGAAACCGATCTGAAAACATTTTCGTGTCCATCATGAGTCACGCAAAGCCAACAGCAAACTTTATAACCCTTTTCCACTTGGGTGTTGATTGTTGAGGTGGAGGAACAAATGTGTTTAGGACTGGATGTTTGTGTTTGGATTAATCGTTTCTTTATCTTAAAAAACCAGAAAACGTTTGAACTTGTGGTTTCTTTAGTGCCACCATAACGGTCTAGTCTTACATAATGGTATTGAACATTCATCATTGTGGGTGAGAGTGTCCAATACAGTGCTGGAGGGAAGATTACATTGCATATCTGTAAGTCGGAGTGGAGGGAGGCCGAAGGAATTAAAACATGCTGAGCAAACAAGCATTAGGCAGTAGTTGATCAGATTACCAAGGGGATCCGCCCAGTGGTAAACTGGGGAAAGATTTATGCAACAACCTTTTCTCATTCCTGTCTGAAGTTTCTCTCACATTGTATACTACCATTGGCTTTTCTGAATGCACCACATCAGTTCAAACACACATTCTAAATTTCATTCAAATAATTGCAAAAGACCCGATGCAGCCCACCTGTGCGTAAGTGAGCGTGCTTTCCCAAGAAATGTACATTTGCATAATGGCTTCCCTGATAAATTCTTATTAGTTATTAATCCATAATATTGGCAGGGGTTGACGTTAAGGATTATTACCACTTGCCCTTGGGGCAAGTGACTTTCACATTTCATTTGCCCAGAGACAATTTTTACTTGCCCAGTATAATGTTTGATAAATATAGTTCCTACTATTCATTTTTGTATATATATGAATGAAACATGTTTGTTTTTTAAATGTTTTTTGTAATTAAGTATTTTTTAAGTTTACAGGTTCCTGGTGTGTATATGCATGCGTCAGATAATGAACTCAAGCCTACATAACCGTGTTAACATGCTTTTCAATCCTTCCTGCACATTCTTTTCAAACTAAACTTTGCTTTAAACTGTTGTGTGCTTGCAAAAACATTTAATGAACATTTTTTAATGTATGACCTGCATCACTGTAAAGAAGACTGCCATATGATTGCGCTTTCTAGCTTGTTTGTCGTTTTGGTAACTACATCAAAATTACCACTAGGTGGACAAAAATCACGCCATCTGGCGGAAAATCACCCGGCTTTTTCAAATCACGCGAGAATGTGTACAAAACAACGAAATGTCTGTAATTTTAAAGTAATTTTGAGTGATAAATAATTTTTTTTTTGCGATCATTGCACTTGCCCGGTGGGCATATGCAATGAAATTTGTACTCTCCCAACAAAAAAGACTACTTGTCCCGGGCTATCGGGCAGTGGTTAACATCGAGCCCTGATTGGTATACTCACCAAGTTGTTAGGGGTTGTAAGTTTAAGCTGCTGCTTTATTCACAGATGTATGCCCTTAACAGAGTTCTTGTTGATAAGTGTGTTTAAATGTTTGGTTTCAACGGCACCTGCTTTCATCATAAAATCTTTTTTTTTTTTTTTCCATTCAGGCTTCAGCGTTTCTGAAACATTTTGCTACAAGTACATTTTAACCTGACTTGAAGTTGTTTTCAGCCTGTTTTTACTCAGTTCCATCTCATAGTTTTGTTGGCAAGTACCATGACTGCAATATGGCTATTCATGAAAGCATACACTTTGAGTAACCCCAACATGATGTTTATTACAGCTGCACAATGCGCTGCTGATGACTAATCTAGCACATTTGAAGAATGTAACAATTAATTAATTGATTTCCAAGGCTGAATGAAAAGAGTGGGTGCAAGGATTTATGAGCTGGTTTAGTAGAGAAATGATTCATGAAGTGGAATCAGAGAACTCTATGGCCTTGCTCCAATACAGAAAGCTTCATCAAAATGATTTATTCTCTTAAAAAGCAGGATTGTCTTTTAACAATATAGCAAACAGGAAAGTCATATACACTAACTTTCTCAGATTCATTTAAATTAAAGCATTTGAATATAACTAATATTCAAAGCATGCAGCGAAAGCTTTCCATTAAAACGGATAGCAGACTCATATTGGCAACGAAAGCCTGAGATGTGTTTATGGTTTCATTAGTGTCATTAGTTTGAACTTAGACTCGAGTATCTGATTTCTACCTTTTTACCAGTAGATGTTCCACACTAGCTGTTTACTGGGTAAGCTCAGGAGACGGCCGTGGAAGAGACCAAAAACGTAATATCTCTGTGGCTGAGATGCTCAAGCTTGGTCAAAGTAATGAAAATTTTGAGATAACAGAGAATAATGGGGAAAAGAGGGAAAGAAAACTCAATAATTGCTCATCTATAACTATATTTCAATCAAATATTTAACAGTCATGTTGAAACTTTTTTTTTTTAACAAATTAAAGGCATTGGTTTACACATTTTTCAGCCATCCACCGTGCCTCTCTGTGTGATTCAGGAAAAAGGCTCAGTGTTTAAATTTCCACTAAAAACTACTGTTCAAAACATGAGAACCGGAAATTTTTCTTGCCTCGCCATGTTGAGGGAGACGGCAAAGACGACCCTTGGCTTTTTGCCTGTTTCCCTTTGCTTTGACAGCAAGGAATCTGCAGAGTTAAACATGGCCATGGCCTTGCCCTGTATTTGATGGATACACCCTGGCAACTTGCAATTTTTTTTATTCCCCTTAAGTAAACTTTTTTTAAACTGTTTCCTTTTTTAAACATCATTATGTTTCTGGGCTAGAGTTTAAAGTAAAATAATGAAAAGCAGTTGTTAGCTTGATTGCAGTGTCCTTTGGTAATACAAACACAAACCTATATCTATCTATATATAGATATACATATATAGATATATCTATATATCTATATATAGATATACATATATAGATATATCTATATATCTATAGATATATAGATATATAGATTTTGCAGTGGCAAGCATTTAGAATGTGATTGAGTGATTGAGTCAGGTGATTGGATCATTTGAACTTATGCAATTTTAGGGTGTGTAAGGCTGAAATCTAACATTGCACATCATCCTGAACCCATAAATACAAATCAATAAATCGAACTTTATTGATCTCACAATGGAGAAATTTACCCCTGCATTTAACTCATTCCCTTTTGGAGTAGTGGGTTGCCATTGTCTGGTGCCCAGGGAGCAGTATGAGGTTAAGGGTCTTGCTCAGAGACCCAGAGTGCAGGCTGTGGGGATCAAACTGGGTACTTGCAACCTTCCTAGAGAACAAGCACATTGCTCTAACCACTAGGCCAGTACTCCACCTACACTCCCCCTACCTATTGTGGGTTTCTGAGTTTGTAAATACATCCAAAATGGAAGATTTGATGGCGGGAGGACAAGGAGCAACTGATGGTCTATTTTGCCCTGTTAATCAACCACTGTAGGATTCACTTGTCAGCTGGTGTGGAGTTGTATAAAAAACAAACAAAAAAAAAAAAACACTTTCTATAGTTGAGTGAAAGATGGTGCCTTGGAGCATTCTCTTTGACTTCAGCAGTCTTGTAAAGCGCAATATCTGCTGAGAAGTTTTGATTACAGCCTGGATTTTGTCGATCTATGTCCGGTTGTTGGTGATACGAATCCCTAAGAGCATGAAAGTCAGGTGTCTTTAACAGGACTCCATTAATATGAGTGAGGTCCAGCTCGACACTCTTTTTTTTTTTTTCTTTTTTTTTTTTTACAATATATTTTGTCTTGAAGAGGCATTATTGAGTTTTCTAATGATAATGCCAGCTGTGGCCAAAACACAGAACGGGAGTACTATTGGACATTCTCGTAGCTCACGACTGTACTTGACAAGTTTCTTGTTTTGTTTTTTTTAACCTGTAGCTGCCAATTGTGTCTTGAGTTGAGCTGGATGCTAGTCTTTTCATGGTATCCAAAAAAATATTTTGATTATAACACCCTAATTGTTTGCTAGGCTTGACACATTAAACATCGACGCACTTGACGTCACATCTGCTGAACAGCGTGGGAACTTCGACCCAGAGTAAAAATTCAGTAGAATAGGCTACAGGCTTACAGATGCACAAACTACTGAGGTGTCAGTCTACTCATCAAACAATGATTTAGTCATAAAGGGGGAAAAAAGGATATTTTAAATATATTTTTTAGTAAAATTACATAATGTCTCTTTAATGTTCAGTGTTGGATAAATCAGGGAACGCCGCATATACAGTATCATCACATCCCAATATACAGACTCACCACATTTGCAAATAACCTTAATCCCTGCTGTATCATCAGCAACCTAATAATGTTGTTGCAGGGGCGAGCAGGTATAGAGTCATAAGTGTACAGTGTGTAGAGGACTGGGCTCACACAGCCCTGTGGGAAACCTTTGCTGGTAGTTAAAATTGAGGAAGAATACTATCCAGTTCTGACAGATTGGATCAATTTCCAATCTCCAGACACAGGAAAGGGTGGAAAAATCTATTAGCAAGAGTTAAATCAAATATTATGCTTAGAATGACATTGAAAATGCCAAACTGTCAATAAGAGCATTGTGAGACATCATTCCTTTGGTTTGCCGAGTGGTTAGGTGTTTGGCAGGGCAGAGCTAATAGCATTCCCTCTGCTTGTTCTAGCCCTGTAAGCAAACTGATTGAGGTCGAAGGTGGGTGGAAGGTGGGTCTTGATCTCATGAGCAATGGTCCTTTGGAGGCTGGAATGATGTTAACAAACTGGACACGCAAGAAAGAAAGAAAACTGATGTTCTTCATAGACAGGCTTAATACCTTTATGGCAACACCAATGCCAATACACACCCCTAGTGTTGACAAATTTCTTTATCAGTCGAGATTTTACATCAGCGTCTATGTTTTATTCACTGTCGATCTCTTTCACCCTCGTGCAGGTGCAGCGCTGGGCATACCTGGTAGTCATGTCAGTATAGAGTAAAGCAAAAACAATGCAGACTCTTGGTAATACCTGTTGGACCTAATCTACAGTGATTCCTACAGAATTCCATCCAGCAAAGATGCACAACAGCCTTCTGGAAGGACCACTTAATTTGTAAGTTTATCAGAGAAGTAGCTCAGAAAGCAGGCTCTGTTTAGTTTTAAAGTTAACCTGCATTACTTGTCTTGTAATTATATCCTGAGTCCTCAATGTCTCAAACAAGACAGATTACATATGCGGTCGAATCCGAGATTAGACAATCAAAAAGTGCTCTTAAAACCTACAAAACTGTTGCTTTGTACATTGAGAGGTCTAGGTGTTCAAATATGGACAAATATCGTCTTCTTGTTGAGTTATGACATTTGAATACATGCAACACCTGTCTAATCTGATCTCTGTGGTAAATGCTATGGCAAAGAGACTCTGAGCTGCTTGTTGTTCCTGATGTCCTGATGAATAAAAAAAAGATTTTTACCATTACCAGCTATATATATGAGAAATATCTGCACAATGTCCTTCTCATCATGCAGCTGATTTCCCTCTTCTTTGAGAGCTCATATGGAGTGCCGCCCTATGTGAACCTATGGTGAGGAACATCTGCTTTTCCAAAAAGAACATATGTGTTTTGGGGTCGACATTTGCAGCAAAACTCTGTTTGTTTTCTTTCTGCTCGCTTGTTGAACCAGACAGCCTGCTGTTTTGTTTAAAGCAGGATAAACCTAGTGCCACCTCTGCTCAAATCAGTCCCTGCAGGGCCTCCAGTGCTGCGAGACCTATCACCACGCAGCTGCACCTGTTTCCTCTTATTTTTGGCTACACCCAGCTGTTTACTTTCTCTCTTTATCTCCACATCTCTTTGGCCCTTTTTCTTCCATTTCCACATTGCTTTGGAAGTCCACATGGCTGTGCTTTTTGTTTTTCTGATTACCAGTCTGACAGGTAATCGGGGCATGCAATTCCCTTTAAATTATTCATAGTCTGTTAGCCATTGCTCCTGTCATTAAGTTGTTTGTATTTACTCAGTGGAAAATTAAGGGAAACCTTGTTATTTTCAACCACAAATGTTATCAAGAAATCTATTGATAATGAGTATCTTTCAGTTCGCATTTGCTTGACCAAGCATGAAATGGGGATGTTGACTGTTTGGGGACAAAGATATGTGTGAGTGTACTGTTCAGAATCAAAGGTTATTACAACCCTTTCATTAAGTTCAATTTGACAAAAATGGGGAGAATGTGAGACCATTGTGTTGCATTTAAATAACAGAATGGTTCTTTGTTGACAATTTTATTAGTCAATATAACACAATCTTTACTTCTTAGGCTTTTTCAATGATGAAAATAGCAATGGCCCATATTTGAAGATGTATCTATCATAAACTTAAAGATTTTATATCTTGCTTTTTCAAAGGTTTCATATGTCAACTGTGGCATTAATATGATAAAATATTCCCTTTGGCTTTATGGAGGATTCAGCTATTTTGAAATAATACTTTTTTCAGGCTATTTTTTCAACCCCTAAGAAAAGGAACACTTGCCTTGACTGCGACATACCTCATTAGTATTCTTCAGGGTAGTGACTTGGCTTCATTGTCTTTATGAGATGAAAAGTAAATTTTAACTGGTTTGCTGGTATAAGGTACTTCTTGACAATACATGTTGAAAATAGACAATTTATGAAAAACAAAAGAGGTAAAGAATAGGTGTAAATTACTGAAAAAATGGGTGCACAAACCACTGCTCAACTCCCATTAAGGACCTGATGTCTTCCTTGTTGTCCCTACTGTCAAAACGGAGGACACTGACTTCAGTTTCCTCTTTATTTTAGGGAATTTTCCACAAAAAGGTCTTATAAAGAATTCAATCTGGCTTTATATCCAAGCAGAACAGATGGAATGAGACAGAAATTGCAGTGACCCTTATCTGCAGCGTGCTGCTGATCTCCCATCGGTGCTTTTTACACATAATTACAGAGAACAGAATTAAGGATAACATCCTGTTATTAATCTGAGTGCATGCTCCTACACTAACAGCTCACTTCACAGTGAGTATGTGCAGAGACCTGAGTGTGCTTTCTGCCTGCAGGGAGGTGGTTTTATCACAGGGAAAACTGGACAGATTAAAGGAATGTAATTTCATCTTTTAAGGTGGTAAAAAATGATTGGCACATTATTTCACAGAAGCCACAAAGGGGATATTTCACACCTATTCAGTTTTCATAAATAACAAAAAAGCAACAATCATGCAAATTATGACCAACAATAAGCAATATTTTGTTTGTCTTTTGCAGAGTATGGAGGCTTGGGTTTGGACTTTAGCTACAGCGTTGCTGTAGCAGAGGAGCTGGGCAACATTCGCTGTGGGGGCATTCCCATGGCCATCGGTGTACAGAGTGACATGGCTACTCCAGCTCTGGCCAGGTAGTGCTGTAATCACCTGTTTTAGATAACTTATGAGTGTATTATTATTTCAAAATATCACATTTGTTGTAATCTGTATCTATAACTGTCCTTGCTTTTTGCTCCTACTTTTTAACAAAATGTCCCTACTGATATGCATGCACTAATTTTAGAGCTGTCATTTGTTTAAAACAAACCAAACAAAAACACATAATACACTTCTTTTTGTTGGTTGCACATAGGGCTTAAACAATTAATGGGATTGATCATGATTAATTGATTATTGAAATAATCGTCAACTCATTTTGTAATCAATTAATCATTAACTAGAGTATAGAAACTGTAAAATATGCCCTTAGCTGACAGATCAATCCAATTAGAGCAGTAATTATACCAAAATTGTAAAAAAAAAAAAGAAAAAAAAAAGGATATATTAATATTTTACATTTAACATTAAAAAATTTCGTCTGTAAATATGCTGTATTCAGAACTCCTCGAGTGGAAAGTTTTTAGTTTCAGCAGGTTTAATAATGAAAGAAATCCTCTTTAAGAAATCTTTGGCTATTAGATTATTAATCGAAGAAATAATCCAAAAATTAGCCAATTTACAAAATAATCGTTAGTTGCACATTAATGTTTTTCTTCGTGTTCGTATGTTACTGAATTTGTAAGGAAGTCCAGGACATCAAAGTTATAAAACAGAAAGACCCCCACTATGCTTTATTTTATTATGTTGGATTTTTTACATTGGTGTAAAATACATAAACTAGGGATATCCTGATCTGGTATTGATAACAGAAATTGGTCTGATATCAGCCAAAGATAAGAATATCGGATTATATTGGCCTTCCTCTAACATATCTAATATTAGAAAGCTCATAGAAACGATTACGTAGTCGTTCTTATACCTGATCTTGTTGGGCATTGTTCTCTGTTTCTAAAAACTACTTGTTTAAGCCTTTTTTTTTTTTTTTTTTTACCATTTAACACTGTAAAATAAGTATGTATGATTCATGCTGATATTGTATCAGCTCAATATCTGTATCAGTCAATAATCAAAGCTGCATTGTATCAGAAATTAAAAAGTTGAATCAGGACACCCCTAGCATAAGCATCTCATCCATACAGGATATACTTCTCTCTGTTTAACACTTTAATGTTTTTATCAGTATGAAGACACACACCTACTGATACTAGGTGCATCCTATCCAACCAGTCCAAAGTGCATCATGTTATCAATCTACTTATAGAGCATAGAGCTATTAAAGATTAAACATGCATTTAATAACGGACCTTTAAATTAATGAAAGGTTTAAGGAGAGGTTTTAATTATCAGATATGTATCTGTGATTGGTTTGCATAATTACAGTATTCACGTCTATGTAAATAGTATGTTGCCGGCAGCAAAAAATGTAAGTGTAAATAAATAAGAAGTCACCTGTTTTACCCATTATCTTTGTCTGTTATCGGACAAACAAGCATGTCAGCTCACTGAGAGAGGTGTCCCTGCCAGGACACAGCTGCTGTTAACACATAATATAATTCAGGGAAATAGACAATTAAAGTCTCAGGAGTTTAATTAAGACATGGAAGTAATCCACAGCTGCAGGGTTCATATATGAAGAGAAAGTGCTCAAACTGGAGGGAGTGATGCCTCAGGAGACCCCATTCATATACCTCTGGACCTACAATTGCTTTAAACTGTGGAAGCGGTCTCGTAACTGCATCTTACAAGATGCATCTTACGAGAAACATCAAAATATTTCACTAATAGCAATATGAGGAACAGTCTTACCCCACAGTTACACAACAAAGTTTGAAGCAGTTGTTAGGTCAGCATATTTCATGTGGAAAACACATATAATCCTATCATGTTTTCATGCATTTCTGCACGTGTGTCTATACCTGTACAGGTTTGGTTCAGAAGAGCTTAAGAAGGAGTTCCTTTTGCCCTCCATCATGGGTGAGAAAGTGGCCTGTCTGGGTGTGAGTGAGGTCGGAGCTGGCTCTGATGTCTCAAGTATGTATTCACCCTCATATGTTGTATTAACCTGTTGCAATATAATGATCAAAATGCTTCGCTAATAGCAAATATGAGGAACAATAGAGAATGAGAGTTTGGCAGCCCACACTCCTAGTTCAATACTTCAGTAAAATCAGTGTTCTATATGAAAATTAAATAGCACTAAAGTGTGTAAAAATGAATCACAATGTCAAGTCTACATGGTGATTATGCAGCCTCTTCCTTGTATATACCTTGAAAGTAACAAATATTGTATCCCTACATTAATTTTCTATGGCTACAGTTTTGCACCTAATCAAATAAAGTGACTTCTGCTGTTGATTTCTTTCACATGAAGCTAAGCTAAGTTTGCATTCTTACTCGTTTGTTATTATTTCATTGCACTTTCACTATGTTTAGACAGAATTTAAATGAAAGTAACTCTTTCACTTTTTGCTTTTAGCATCAATAGCTTCAACAGCAACAGTTTTAACAGTTTATCTCCCTAGAAATCTGTCTGAGGGAGTACAGCATGCAGAGGAGGTTATATGACACACATAGACTGAATACTACAACAGCCAATGCAATCCCTTTCTTAATGTGAATGACAACGAAAGATGTGAGAAACATTATTAGATGGACTGAGATACAAGCCTGGCAACTTAAATATTTAACAAACATAATATCCTGCAAAAAAAAAAAAAGTCTTCATTGTTTTTTTCTGATTATTTTTACGAGCTGCTACTTTGTGTTTGATTTTGATATTTTAGATAATTCATATTTTTTCTCTTCCATGTTTTATTTTGTGCTCTACATGTCTTTACTTGTCCTTAGATTTAGTTCCAAACTTGGTATTGCTTTGCTTTTTATCCCCTGTATCATTTTTGCAAACTGATGCTCACTCAGTTGTTCTTCAAACCAGGTATTAAGACCAAGGCAGTGAAAAAAGGAGATGAATATGTGATAAATGGGGGAAAGATGTGGACAACCAATGGCACCCAGGCTGACTGGATGTGTCTTCTCGCCAATACCAGCGATGGACCCCCACACAAGAACAAATCTCTCATTTGTTTACCCATGAACCTGCCAGGTAGGGTCAGAGATATCATATATGCATTCATTTTAGGAATTTCTTGATAATTCTGGTATGAACAACGCTGCAAACTGAAACTCGTCTCATTTTTAGCTCTATACGTAATATGTTTGGAGTACATATTAATTGTGTTTCCTATCTTTTCCCAAAAAGGAGTACATGTTGCCCGGAAGATTAGTAAAATCGGTATGTGGTCATCAGATACAGCAGAAGTTTTCTTCGATGACGTCCGTGTTCCCTGTCAGAACATCATTGGTCAAGAAGGAATGGGCTTCACCTATCAGATGCTCCAGTTCCAGGAAGAGAGGCTCTGGGCCGTGGCCAATGGTGAGTGAAGCAATCCTTATCCCTCTCTCTTTTCCCAAATAAAATCCAATCAAAACATTTAATCTCTCTCCTGTTTTGTTCCCTGTTTTTCCTTTGTTCCATTATCCACTTTGGTATTTATTTGGGTTTTAGCTACGTTTTCCATAATAGGGAGTTTGGGTCACGCAGTTTCAGCATATAATATTTGGGGAAATACTTTGATTTTGTGAAACAAGTCTGACTCAATGTTTTCTTGGCAGGGTTTCTGAGAAGCCTTTTCGAAATTAAGTACAGCTAAAGGTCTTTAAGGAAATGGATGGTTGCTCATACATCTGTCCGAAAACTTGGTCAACTTGCTGGCCTGCAGAACAAGCAGAAAGGTTTAGATTTTCTCACCAGCATGAATGCCATTCTATATTTGGGTTGTAATCATTAGTTTTCTTTTCACTTTCTTTTTGAGGAGCACTTAAAATGAAAGGCACCCTGTGTTGGAAAAGGAAAAAATACAAACACACACACGGGTATATCTATCTATATATATTTATAGATAGATAGATATATACACATACATGTATATCCATCCATCCATCCATCCATCCATCCATCCATCCATCCATCCATCCATCCATTTTCTTACACGCTTGTCCCGAGTGGGGTCGCGAGGGATGCTGGTGCCTATCTCCAGCAGTCAATGGGCGAGAGGCGGGGTACACCCTGGACAGGTCGCCAGTCCATCGCAGGGCAACACAGAGACACAGGACTAACAACCATTCATGCACACACTCACACCTAAGGACAATTTAGAGAAGCCAATCAACCTAACCTAACCATACATGTATAGATATACATATACGTACAGGTGGCTAGATGATAGCCCAAGATATATATATATTTTTTTTCACAAGCAACATTATGACTGTTGCCATAAGGTTCTGCTTGGTACATGTATATGAAACTTCTTTGAAAATTATTTAGGGTGTAAAATAGAATACAGCGGACACAGAGATGAGAAAGAAAGAGGATATTAGAACTAAGGGGAGAGAGAAGGAGATGGAGACAGGATAGAGCACATGAAAAATGAGTGAGTAAAACAAAACAGCAGAAATGGACAATACCGAAGATATACAGTAACTCGTAGGAGAAGACATCAGATAACAAAAGTAAACATCAATAAAAGATTCAAGAGCAGTGGGAATCCCTGAGATATCCATGTGTGTGGAAGACAGAACCTATGGTGATTACACAATGTTTTTCAGGGTGGTATTTATCTCTAGCTGTAGTTTAATATTTAGTATTGGTATGTATCCATGAGCACCTGGAGCCAAACTCATGTAGTATGTATGCATGGGTATGCTCATCTATAAAGGATTTATAAAGCTTCTTCAGAAGGACAATATGCTTAATAGCAGGTGTGGGCGGCCCCAGACTTGCCCTACGGGGGACCCGGAGCCCAAACCCCAAAGAGGCCTGGTCCCTGAGGGGCCCGACCCCAGAGGCCACAAGGCCTAGGTCCTACAGGCTATGGCAGGGAGCTCATGGGCTGTGCCAGCGGCCGGTCCCACACACCCCCCTCCACAGACACCAGAGCAGGTAGCCAACCCACCAAAGAGCCCAACCTGCCCCTAGTCAGTCATGATGATGATGATCTTTTCCCAATGTGTGTGGTGGTGTGATAAAGCGGGTAAGGGGAAACATACGATTTTGGATGCAAAGAACTCCCAGGGAGCCAGCTCCACTACTGACCCCAATAGGCTCCACCTTCTGCCAGGGAAGCAGGGTGCCAACCTCCAAGGGCAGACCACAACTTTACAGGGGGAGTGGCGGCCTAGGCATAGGGCTTTGAATCCTGAGGTTGTGAGTTCGGTCCCCCACTCCCATAGGCTGCCACTTTGGGTCCCTGAGCAAGACCCTTAACCCCACACTGCTCCCCGGGCGCCGCACAATGGCAGCCCACTAGTGGGTTAAATGCAGAGAAGTAATTTCCCTCTGGAATTATTAGAGTATATAAAATAAAAACCGAAAAAACACCAGATTTACCTCTACCATGACATCGGAAGCCTGATGTGCTAACAGGCCCCAAGAGACACAGTCCCTCCAGCAAGTCCTGTTGGGACTCTGACCTCTGACCAATCCCCTCTACCGGTCCCTCATGGTTCCACCTGGCCTTGTGTCGCTCCTTCGGGCTGGGCCTGTTTGGTTCCCACAAGAAAGAACCCGACCACCGGGCACTCGGTGACGAATCACAGGCCTGGCCCCAGGGTTGGGTCCAAGCTCCACTGTATTGGGCGACTTCAAGTGCCTTAATTTCTTTGCCTTCATTGAGGCTTTTTTACTACTCTTTGTCTGACTCATCATCCAGAGCCTGTTTGCCTTGGGAGACCCTACCAGGGCATTTAATCCCTGTAACAACATAGCCTCTGGGATCCTTCACTGAAACCCTCTACCTAAATGTGGTGGTTGAAGGAGGGGCTCAATCTATTCATGAATCCAAATTTCCTTTGGCTGCATCCAGTTTTCTTCTACACATTTTTACAAGGAAGAAAGGTCCAGTTGCAGATGACTTGACCCCTATGATTCTAAAAAAGTGTTTCCATTTCAGTTTTGCAAAATATAACAATATCGATACAACCGAAAAAATCACCCATTCACAGCGTAAAAAGTTTTTGTTTTTTTTTCAAAATTGCAGTGTTTCTAATAAGCAAATTATTTTTGTAATTACAAATTGTGTTATTTGATTGTTAATGGAAACGCAGCTACTGATTCCTAAAACACCTCAAAACTGCTTTTGGAAATAACTCAGATAAACTTCCAACTTTCAAATTGGCCAATGACTTAAGCCGCTTAAAAAATATACCTGTTTCGGTGCTCTGCTAGTAATAATACTGAAAATATAATTTTAAACAATTTGGAAAATGTTTTACTTTTAGAATATAGAAATTCACAATCAGTTCCTTTTTCAAGTTGCTTTCAGTTAAATAATTTCAAATTAATCTTTAAGGGCCTGAAGTAACCATGACACTCATGTTGGTGACGAGGGATAATAATGAAGATTGATATCACCTTTCTTTTTTCTTGTCCCCAGTTGTGACCACGATGGACAACATCATCCAGGAAACCATCAATTACACACGGCAGAGGAAGATCTTTAAGCAGCCTGTGCTCTATCACCAGGCTGTTCACTTTAGGCTGGCCGAGCTACAGACAGAGGTTGAGCTGCTACGCTCCCTCCTCTACCGTTCTACAGGTAGGCGCTTTATCGAGATGGCAAAAATAAGAGGTCAACGAGAGGTGGAGGCTGTAAGCTACATCCCAACATATCTCTCTGAAACCTGGTTAGGAGCAACTTTTAGAAATGAAGTAAAAATGAAAAAGAGGGGTCTAATATTTATTTATGAAACAAAACAAACAAAATATGCTGTTTTCTCTTCTCTCCTTCATGTTGCTTTAAAGTGGGTGCAAATCAGCCAATACACGTCATCATGACGGCTGTGACAGATGGGTGAGAGATGAATGTCTGTAGTTTAAATCAAGTATGTTAGGCTAACAAAACAAAATATGGAGGTAGAACATTTCCAAATAATCAACAGACTGATGGCAGTGTGCTTTAGACTGATTATATTTTGAAATTAGGACAAAGAAACATTTGATCTAATTGTTGCAGTCAATGAGAATAACACAACATGCCAACATGTTTTGATTTTTAATGTTTGAACAATATAGTAAAGTGATTTTACATAATTTCTGTAAGAAAATGAATCAAGATGAAATGATAACCTAAAATAATAAAATAATATTTTTTTAGGAAGTGTTGATGTTGTCTCTGAGTAGTACAATCACTGTATTTAGTTTGTTAAATTGATCTTTCAATTCCTCATCTATTTCATAAACTTTAAAATCAGTTTCATTATAAGTAAATAAAGGCAGTTAAAATGTATTCATTTCTTGTTAAAAAGAATAGCATACAGTGGGCGCTGGTTGGAAATGGACACTTCACTCACGCTCCGCGTGTTTCACGTATTGTGTGAAAAACATGTGACTACTATAGCCACTAGGTGGCAGTCTGACTCCATTTCGGCGTCCCATGAGTCAGAATTACATAGGTCGAGTAGCAGACTGGAAGGGATGTCACGGGTTGCGAGTTTATAGCGCAGAGGTTAAGCTGAGTGGTCGTTGGTTCAATAGACTGTGGGTTCAATCCCAGCTGTGGCCGAGTTGCCTTAAATGTTTTTTTTTTTTTTTTATTATAATTATTATCGCTTTTTTATAAAGTAATGAATGTTAGAATGTAAAGTAATGAAACCAGGTTTTCTATTTTTGAAACAACAATTGGAGTTATTCGTTGGACATTCACGCATGAGCCTGTATAAAAAGAGGAGCTGACCAGCTCCTTTAGTCAGAGACACCGTGTCTGTACGTTTGTGGGCCTGCAGTCAACTGAAAAGCAGGTTTATTGGGGATCTTGGTGTGATATTGTTCTATTTTATTTTGTTTTTGATTAAAATAAAGTTAATGAATTAATTTAACATTGGGACTGCATAATCTTATTTCATGAAAATATTTATAGATAGATTGATAGTAGTTATAGATACACCTCCGATCTTATCTGAGAACTGTTATTTCTATTTATCTGCATCGCTATTATTTAATGAAAAATAAAATTAATTAAGTTGGAGCCGGGGATACGGACTGTAGCGCAACCAGAGAAAGGCGACAGAGACAGTGCTGCGGCTGGTGATGTTGAAATTAAAATCATATCCAAAGTTGATTCCTCATTAAGATAAGCCAAAGTTATTCAAAAGGGTATGTAAGAAAATATATTTTCTTTAGTTTTGTAAAATATAAGTGCCGTTGAAAGCTTTGTTTTTGTGTGTTACTTTCTTGCCGTGCAATACGTGACACCCCTCCCAGTCTGGTCAAGTAGCAGACTGGGAGGGCTGTCACGTGTTGTGAACTTATAGCGCAGTGGTTAAGCTGAGTGGTCTCCAGATCATCAGCTCGTGGGTTCAATCCCAACTGTGGCCGAGTTGCCTTAAATGTGTTTTTTTTTTTTATAAAGCATCTTAATGCACCTTTTCCCTCCCTGTTTGCACCTCCAGTAACTTATATGCCAATATGTGACGAGTGAATTTCTCCGCTGTGAGATCAATAAAGCTCATCTAATCACATCTACTCCAATCTAAATAAATAAATAAATATACACATGTTCAATAAATAAATAAGCATTCAATTAATTACCCCCAATAAATGGTGAAATGATATGTTCTCATAATAAATCATTTATTTAAAAAATGCTGTTATGTTCCTTTTTTTTTAAATTCCTTTTAAAATGCTTAACTATTTTTATTCTTTTATTTTCTTTCAAAAAATCACTAGATAACCACAAAAAAAAAAAAAAATCTGTAAATGAATTGTCTTGACAAATAAAAACATTTTGAAGATATAAAAACTGTAAAATAATAGGAAATAAAATATGACTAGAAAGGATTCACAAAAAACTGAATTTTAAGTATTAAAAAAATTAATATATAAATGTTAAAGTATTGCAATTGTTTCCAAATTAATTTTTCTTTGCACCAACCAAAGGGGAAAAAAATAGAAAAAAAGCATCTGAATTTTTTTTTTTTTTTTTTTTTTTGTGGTTATCTGCTGCGGACATACTGTAAGTGGACTGGTCATGTTATTGTCCGACTGATGTGTGGGTTATACAGGCCAAACATCTTCCCTTGCCAACCCAAATAATGAAATCCGTTTTTTTTTTTTTTTTTTTATCTTGACGAAAACCAGAAATATGGTCTGCCTGCATTCATCAACAACTTATGTTTGTTAGACCCCCTACCCCTCAGGACCCCCGCCTAATCAATGCAAAAAATAACGACAAATGGCTTTAGCAGGTTATTCAGAGTTGACGCGGTACTTTGCAGACAACTTACTCTCTTGTTCTCTGACAATAGAATTCAACCACCACCATTTACAGAGACCCCCTCCCCCTCACAGCTCAACTTTGTGGTTTCAACACTGCAGCGAAAGTTTCCTGATATGGGGAAGAGTGACTTGAAGGACTGCATTGATAAGATCAACGAATTTCTCCGTACAACACGCAAATCATCCCAACGACTCTCAATGTAAACCTGTTCAGTATTCATCACAATAAACACATTTTCCCACATGCTCTTTTCCCACTTTGTGTTGTTTTAAAATCTAATCTGAAATATAGAAATAGAAATTATAGAAACAAAATGTTTCACAGCAGTTTTTTCAGGAACAGAATCAGGTTTATTGACATTGTCAGAGAAGGAGTTCACAAACTAGGGATTTTTTTATGGTACAATCGTGCAAGATGACACATATAAGGGTAAATAGAATTATAAAAATATCTAAACACTGTGGCAATATATAAGCAATATCTATACCGTATATCCAGGTCTGGGACGGATTTTAGCAGGGGCTTACCGGGGCTGCAGCCCGGGGCCCCGGCATTCCCGTAGGATTTATATTTTTGTGAATGGATAGTGTTAGAATTTACCGTATTTTCACGACTATAAGCGCACATAAACGTCTTTTTATCCCTTGAAATGTGCGGTGCTCCCTTTGGTAAGGAGACCAGGTGGGGGTTTTTTCCACTCATCAACATCGCTGTTGATGCAGAAGCAGCGAGTTTAAAAATAAAATTAATAAAATTGAACAATATCACACCAAGATCCCCAATAAACCTGCTTTTCAGTTGACTGCTGATCCACAGGACAAAAAACTGGTCATAATCAGGGAAGCAGACAGACTAAAGAAAGCTAGGAAACGTCTCACCAAAACACACAAATCTTGGTGTGATATTGTTCAATTTTATTAATTTTATTTTTAAACTCGCTGCTTCTGCATCAACAGCGATGTTGATGAGTGGAAAAAACCCCCACCTGGTCTCCTTACCAAAGGGAGCACCGCACATTTCAAGGGATAAAAAGACGTTTATGTGCGCTTATAGTCGTGAAAATACGGTAAATTCTAACACTATCCATTCACAAAAATATAAATCCTACGGGAATCCCGGGGCCCCGGGCTGCAGCCCCGGTAAGCCCCTGCTAAAATCCGTCCCAGACCTGGATATACGGTATAGATATTGCTTATATATTGCCACAGTGTTTAGATATTTTTATAATTCTATTTACCCTTATATGTGTCATCTTGCACGATTGTACCATAAAAAAATCCCTAGTTTGTGAACTCCTTCTCTGACAATGTCAATAAACCTGATTCTGTTCCTGAAAAAACTGCTGTGAAACATTTTGTTTCTATAATTTCTATTTCTATATTTCAGATTAGATTTTAAAACAACACAAAGTGGGAAAAGAGCATGTGGGAAAATGTGTTTATTGTGATGAATACTGAACAGGTTTACATTGAGAGTCGTTGGGATGATTTGCGTGTTGTACGGAGAAATTCGTTGATCTTATCAATGCAGTCCTTCAAGTCACTCTTCCCCATATCAGGAAACTTTCGCTGCAGTGTTGAAACCACAAAGTTGAGCTGTGAGGGGGAGGGGGTCTCTGTAAATGGTGGTGGTTGAATTCTATTGTCAGAGAACAAGAGAGTAAGTTGTCTGCAAAGTACCGCGTCAACTCTGAATAACCTGCTAAAGCCATTTGTCGTTATTTTTTGCATTGATTAGGCGGGGGTCCTGAGGGGTAGGGGGTCTCACAAACATAAGTTGTTGATGAATGCAGGCAGACCATATTTCTGGTTTTCGTCAAGATAAAAAAAAAAAAAAAAAAACGGATTTCATTATTTGGGTTGGCAAGGGAAGATGTTTGGCCTGTATAACCCACACATCAGTCGGACAATAACATGACCAGTCCACTTACAGTATGTCCGCAGCAGATAACCACAAAAAAAAAAAAAAAGAAAAAAAAAAAAAAAAAATTCAGATGCTTTTTTTCTATTTTTTCCCCTTTGGTTGGTGCAAAGAAAAATTAATTTGGAAACAATTGCAATACTTTAACATTTATATATTAAATTTTTTAATACCTAAAATTCAGTTTTTTGTGAATCCTTTCTAGTCATATTTTATTTCCTATTATTTTACAGTTTTTATATCTTCAAAATGTTTTTATTTGTCAAGACAATTCATTTACAGATTTTTTTTTTTTTTGTGGTTATCTAGTGATTTTTTGAAAGAACATAAAAGAATAAAAATAGTTAAGCATTTTAAAAGGAATTTAAAAAAAAGGAACATAACAGCATTTTTTAAATAAATGATTTATTATGAGAACATATCATTTCACCTTGTATTGGGGGTAATTAATTGAATGCTTATTTATTTATTGAACATGTGTATATTTATTTATTTATTTAGATTGGAGTAGATGTGATTAGATGAGCTTTATTGATCTCACAGCAGAGAAATTCACTCGTCACATATTGGCATAGAAGTTACTGGAGGTGCAAACAGGGAGGAAAAAGGTGCATTAAGATGCTTTATAAAAAATAAAAAAAACATTTAAGGCAACTCGGCCACAGTTGGGATTGAACCCACGAGCTGATGATCTGGAGACCACTCAGCTTAACCACTGCGCTATAAGTTCGCAACACGTGACAGCCCTCCCAGTCTGGTACTTGACCAGACTGGGAGGGGTGTCACGTATTGCACGGCAAGAAAGTAACACACAAAAACAAAGCTTTCAACGGCACTTATATTTTACAAAACTAAAGAAAATATATTTTCTTACATACCCTTTTGAATAACTTTGGCTTATCTTAATGAGGAATCAACTTTGGATATGATTTTAATTTCAACATCACCAGCCGCAGCACTGTCTCTGTCGCCTTTCTCTGGTTGCGCTACAGTCCGTATCCCCGGCTCCAACTTAATTAATTTTATTTTTCATTAAATAATAGCGATGCAGATAAATAGAAATAACAGTTCTCAGATAAGATCGGAGGTGTATCTATAACTACGCAACCATTTTCATAAAATAAGATTATGCAGTCACTTGACTGCATAATCTTATGTTAAATTAATTCATTAACTTTATTTTAATCAAAAACAAAATAAAATAGCACAGTATCACACCAAGATCCCCAATAAACCTGCTTTTCAGTTGACTGCAGGCCCACAAACGTCACCCTCAGCACGGCAGAGGTCCCAAGCGCCACCTGGTGGTTGTCCGGGTACATTGCAGTTCTTTTTGAAATAAAAAAACTGGCCTCAGGAAATACAACGTGATTCACGTGGGAATCACACAGGAATCACGCAGGAAACCGTCCATTTCCAACCAGTCCCCACTGTAGTAAGTCCAGGACAATTATTGGCTGTCAGATAAAGAATCATTATGGAAACGTTTTTGAATCTAAAGCATGTTTGTTTAATGTCTCATCCTCTTCCACTTTTTTGTTTGTTTGTTTTTTATTCTGAACATTTTTTTTCCTCTGCAGCAATGTACATTAAAGGCAACGATGTCACCAAGCTGGCGTCTATGGCCAAGTTAAAGGGCGGCCGCCTTGCGAGAGAACTGAGCGACAGCTGTCTGCAGTATTGGGGAGGGATGGGCTTCACCAGTGATGTACCAGTCAGCAGATTTTACAGGTTAGACTGAAATGGCTAAGACAGCAATGACTGTTTTTCCTTCAAATTTATGTTTCTGTTGACGTTAACGGTTTTGATACCTTTGAAGAAACTTGAGTTGGTATAACCTGAACAACACATCCACACTGTCTTGTCTGAATTCTGGTAAACCTGGTAAAGATACTGAAACTATTTTATTGCCGTAGCGTCATTCCAAACAAGAAAAAAAAAAGCTATTAACAAAAATTGGTAAAGCTCATTTTTAGGATAGAAGTACCTCCGTTTGTGGATCAGAGTTTTTTGTCAATGTTTTTCCTCGGGTGTTGGATGCTTTGCAGCGGGAAAGATTTTTGCTTCTTTTCTACAGCAACCATAGCAATTTTTTTTTTTTTTTTTTTTACACCCAGGAGCAGCTCATTAACATCTCTAAAGTTTTGGAATACCTTAATATTTCTGCAAGTACCAGTTGAGTTGAAAAAGAGGCGCAAGGGATGCAGGGCAGGAGCAAGGAGAAGAGAGAGGAACAAGAAATTTCAAGCCATCTTCTTCCATCAATACTTATGGACAATGTGAAGATTTTTAGGAAGCACTTTAGAAGAACTTCCACCCCGAGAAAAAAACCCAGACAGAATACCAGCAATGCAGTATTACGTTTTACTGAACGTGGCTGCAGGATCATATCCTGGACTCCAGTGTCTTTCTGCCTGGTTTTCAAACAAATGAGTAGACAGAGATTTAACAAACTCAACTAGAGATGCAACTGTGAAGTCGTCCACAAGGGACAGAGCAGATTGTATTTCTTATGGAAGCTTAGATTCTTCAGTGTTTGCAGTAAAATGCTGCATATCTTTCAATAAGTCTGTTGTGGAGATTGATCTCTACTGCCATCATCTGCTGAGGTAACGGCATCAGAGCAAATTATTTGAAAAAGCTCAATAAGATGAAACGAAGGCTGGATCACTTAAAAAAATCGAAATGTAAAGAAGTCATTTTTTCTTAAAATAAGTGCATTTGTTCTTGGATTGAGGAGATAAGAGACATTTTTCCAATGGAACAAGACAATTTACACTTAAAATAAGAAAACACAATTGCATTCTTATTTCAAGTGCATCATATCGAATTATCTTAAGAGTAAAAATACTCATTCCATTGCCAAACTATTTACCCACTGAAATTAAGGATAAATACACTTAATTTAAGGAATTTTCACTTATTTCTAGATCGTTCTCCCAGTGCTGTTCTAGGAGCTCCTCTAGAACCTCTGAAGATTATTTCACAAAGAAGAATTCTTTATAAAGTGAAGATGATTACGGATTACAGCGAGCATCCTCTTCAGAGGACTTGTAAACAAGTGTCTTCAGTCAGAGGGTTCACCTGATCTACTGCATGATGGACCGGTACAGAAGGACCTTCCTGCCTACAGCTATCAACACCCACAACAAAAAACTTCAGTTACTTAAACATTTTATTTCCCCTTGGGATTAATAAAGCATTTTTGAATTGAACTGCTTTAAGCACACAAATTTGTATTCAAGAGCTGTGTGTTTTCTGTAATGAAGCATATGGGCAAAGGCACGATTTGGATGATGGATCATTTTATGCTTCTGAAGACTAAAACTGATTTGATATTTTAAAACCTCTTCACATTCACACAGAAACTCATTCCTAGACAAACTTAATTGTTGGCCAAAAACTTTTGAGGATTTAAGACTTTTTTTTTTTCTTCCCCGGCAGGGATTCCAGGTTGTTGTCGATCGGTGCAGGAGCCGATGAGGTGATGCTGGGAATCATCTGCAAATACATGGACACGCTGCCCAAGAAGTGATCTCATCGATGGTTTCCACAGGGCCGACGTCACACCCCGTTCCTGAAAGAGTGCTAATCTTTAAATCACTAAAGTGCAATTCTGATGTTTTGTGTTAAACAATTCCTACTCAAATTAATTTATAATTTCTCTTGCCTTTTCTCATAAGACAATAAAGCACTTAATAAGTTTTGATTTTCTTATCCTACAGAAAATAATTGATAGCGACCTTTTTGTAGAATGAAGCTCAATGTGTATAGAACTCTGAAAATCATTGACACATATATATATATATATATCATGACATCCATTATCTGCTAATGGAACACTCACAGACCTGTTCAGAACATAAAATTTGTTTATTTACAAAGACCTTTTTACATTAAATCTGAAGCAAAGACATAACTGATGACAGTATATAATTTTTTAAGCCTACCATAAATACCTATGGTAAGTCACATGTTCTGAATGTTATTTACAATTAAAATTGACTTTAACAATGGTCAATTTTTCCAAAGCTATTCAATTGTATGTTTTCACTAACTGCATTAAGGTTATTAACAGTGTTACCTGTCAACTCTTGCTCTATTACTATAGATTAGGCAGTTCCGAACTACTGATGAATACAAATGGCTTCAGGTGTACAAAATATCATTTTAGATTCTTTTTTTACATTAATTGGTTCATACTTCTTTCAGGAAAAATCAGCCCTTTTGCAACTGCAGAGACTCAGACAAGGAACTCACATTGAATTATTTCAACTTTTAACACTTCCTCTAATTCATCATCATTGATCGAGGCTTGTTCACGGATGAATCAGACAGGAACTAAAGATGTGGAACTGAAGGTCAAAGTTCGAACGGAAGCCCTTATCACCTCAACTTAATATACCAGTAAAGAACAAAGAAGACAAAAAAGCAAAAGAGCAGCATGTAGCACAGCAGTTTGGTCTGGCTGCCTCTGGACAGCTGTTTGACTCGGCCGATAGTCGCCCCCAGCAGCCCGCCTGTCGAGTCAAAGTCGGAGTCCTACAGAGGAGGGGAAAAAGGGGATTTAAAAAGTCAAAATCCAGAGGAGTCAAATGATAGCAAAGCAAGAATACAAACATACCCAAAGCTATTTGGTAAAATTAATTTTATTTATTAAAAACTATCTAAATAAGCTATCGTGTTTGTTGATAAGATATATACAGTAATCAGGAGAAAAAAAAACAAAAGCAAACAAAGTAAAAAGTCAAGTGAACAAATAAAATATTCAAAAACTATATTAGTTTCTAAATTATCAACTTCTAGTTTAATATGAAATATAAAACCGTAATACAGTCATAAAAAAAAAACCTTAGACCACCCTTGTTTTCTTAATTGTTTGGTACAATTTAAAAAAAAGGGTGTTCTGATTTTTTTCTTTGACATTAATTTCAGAGAATTTAACAACTTCAAAGGTCTGATCAGTGCTGCCTACCAGCTAAGACGCAGCACAACTAAAACCAGGCAGATTGTTGGAACCGAATGACTTACAAAAAAAAATCAGAGACATGTGAAGCTTTTCTTTAAAATGCCTTTTAGGTCAAGAGTATTTCATTTAAACCGATTCTGCAACACAGGGAGTCTGAAGGAAAGCAACCAGAGGGAAATCAGATTAGGAGGCATTTTGGGGAAGCCAGACCCGACACACTAACATGCAAACATTTACAATACTCAAGCTGGCATAAAACATTTCGAATATAACCTTTTTCAAACTTGTGCAGAAAAAAAGAAAAAAGCTATCTTTGTTTCAATCTGTTTTTTGCCTTGCATTTTTGTACATTTTTTTAAGCAAGAAACTTTAATAAACCGTGCAAAAGGTACCCAGGACAAAAAAAATGAGAAAAGTTCAAGGTTTGTATAACAAACTAAAATGATTTTTTTCATCCAACAAGTAGTATGCAACTGGATTTGCCCACAACGATTACTGATAGGGACCTGGTCGTGAGAGGCTGATCACCCCTCCTTACCCCCTCTACACTACACGACTCAAAACTAGGGCTGGGTAAAAAAATCGATTTAATTGATTTTGAATCGATTCCTTGACATTTTTGTAAAATTGATGTCTAGGGAATGAAATTGATTAGTTTTATAGTGACGTCTGTCACATTCACATTCAAATGAGCAGGAAAGATGCACTCAAAATATTTCAAGTCACACAGCTGCAAATATAGCTAATAGGTTGATTGAAAACATTAACAAATGGAGGCTGGCCAGCAAACACCCTGTAGTTGTTACAGACAACACTGCAAGGGGGGGTGAGGGTGGCCATGGGCACCCCTGGCCCCTCATCTAGCTCCGCCCCTGCGACTGATTAATCGATTTGCAAAATAATCGTAGCTGCAGCCCTAATTATAATTATGAAAACTTTTATAATAAAAATAATAATAAAGCCGAGGCTGTTAATTATTTTAAAACAGAAACGAGTTCTGTTTTTTATCTTTTATAGGAAGTGTTTATGCCACTGAAACTCACCATATCTTCCAACATTTTATTCTGGTACTTCACTTCAGCTCCAATGTCTATCGTCAACTGATAAAAACAAACAAAAAATTGTTTATAACTTATCATGCAAATAAATGTTATGCTACATATTTAAAGTTGGGTTTTGTGTGGATATTTACACTTTTCAGGGCGCCCACTTTAGCCCTCAGTCCCTCCTGAAGCTGCTCATTTTCGTCCTCATACACGCTGTAGCCGCTGCCTCCATAATGTCCAGAGCTTCCTTCACCTGCAGGAAACAACATCTGTTATTACCGACGTTTAATATTAACCCTGTAGTCATATTAGCACAAATCACAACTCTAAAACAAGAGTTCTAGACAGTGGGATAATGCTATGCCCAATGGTAAACACATTAGCTAGTTAGCATGAAGCTAAACATGAACCCATAAACCTGCATTTTAACTGTTTTACTCACCCAGTCCGGCGCGCCTCATTTCGACCCTCTGAAATTAATACTTGCCAATATGCCTATGAAGTTTTAAACAAAAGGTGGTCACTGAACAAGGTTGGAAATGGAAGGAAACCGTTGCTCTGCCACTGTCACTAACGCCACGACATCATACGGTGGCCGACGAGGACCAAACTTCTATTAAAGAGGCGTTTCGCAGAACATTAATTGATACGTGAATTAATTCAGCAAGTAACAAGTCTGACACTCAACAAGCGTTTATCAACAAACCTGTGTCAGAAGTCTGAACGACAGCATTCTATGGAGGACCAGCTCTGCCATATTTAAAGATAGATACAGGAATAAATAAATGCTCAATAAATAAATAAGCGTACAATTATATAAAGCTAAAAAATAAAGTAAACAAATAAATGTAGGTAGAAATTAAATTACACAGCAAGACATAAATGTATATATTTATTTATATACTTTCTTTCTTTTTAAAATACCTTATTTATTGTCCTTTATAATCTTCAACTTTATTTATTAAGTTTTTACTTATGTGCATGTTATAATATTTTTGTCTGATTTATTCTTCCTTTGTATTTTTTTTTTACCCTATTTATATTTTCAATGCTATTTATTTATGCCCGTCGTTTTTACAGTTCTGTATGCATTTCTGTCTCATTATATAAATGAGGAGGGCTGTGTCTTAGAGGGTCAACTTCTGTCCATTGGTTGGTTATCATGCTTATTTATTTATTGAGCATTTATTTATTTCTGTATTTATCTTTAAATATGGTAGAGCTGGTCCTCCATAGATTTGTGCATCTTAGGCATTAAAATGTACCAGATTAGCCTGGGTTGAATGTATGTTTCATGGGAAATTCAATGAACTCTCTTTTAGAGTCAGGTCAGGTTTAATGGAGGGTCTGAAAACAGTTGTTTCATTCATTTGCAGCTGCATTAAAGCCCACATATAATACCTCGCTGATTGACGATATAATAGCATCACTTGAAAGTTGACAAAACCTACCTTGGTTGTTGATGCTTCTTGTAATATTATTACACTCATGGTTAAACTGGATTGGACTGAATTGGACTGGACATAATTTACTAATCCCTAACTTGGATATTACAGCAGCAGCAAGGCAAGAAACACACAATAAAAAAGAAAAAGCAAGAAAATATCTTATTTACAGGAAGTATTAAAAATATATAATTATTGTGCAAATTAGGACCACAGAGATAAATTACCAGTAGTACAAAAAAGGAGTAAAAAAAAAAGATTTTGTTTAAATCTTTGTATAGTCAGTCAAGAGTCTGAGTCATGAGTTGACTCTGGTATAATTTTGGGGTCAGATGCTGAAAAATTTGAAAACTTTTGCTCAAGATCAAGGGTGTTTTTGCATCCTCATGCCTTTTAAGGGCCTTTTTCTCAGCTGTAAGAATGAAACTTATATTTTCATAATTTCACTTACATAAAGCACACTACTATAAAACTTAGTCTAATTTATTTCCTACAACTATTAAAATTCAAAAGATAACAGAAAACAACTTTAAGTAATTAATCAAAAATCGATCGTTTTCACTCAAAACATCTTTCCATACTTCTTTTTTATTGTATTTGATAAAGACAAACCTGCTGCAAAATCATTGCGAGAGGCTAAGAACATGTGTGATCAGTATACTAAAAAAATTGGCATCACCAATCTTACATTCAACCACAACATTTGGATGTTTGAACTCAAACTCCACTAGAATCTGGAATAATAACATTTGATCATTACCAAATCTTGAATGACCTGAATGAGCTGATTGCAATTGGCTTCTCATGATCTTAAGTGTCTACTATATGACATTGTACGCCTTTTATACACTTTTAAGGGTGAATATATTTCCATGGAGGGCCTTCAGTTTGACACAAATCCAGAACATGACAATCCTAAGTGCTTCTGAATAATTCCATTTGAATTTTTTAATTCTTTATTTTCAAATGCAAGAAAAAAAATATCCAGATTCCTTCTTCTTACAGGCATTGCAGCATGGAGCATCCTAAATTAAATCAAGGTACATCTGATCAGTGGAAAACAGTTACCGTGCTTTGTAAAGTTCTGCACCTCTCCTAAACTTTATCAGCTTTTATTCATTTTACAACAAATAACCTCACTATCCCTTATCAGGATGGTGTATTTTGCAAAATGGAGGGAAAATAATACACAGTTCTTGGAATGGTTGACAAGTGTGAAAAAGATCCCATGCCTTTGTATTAAGCCCCCTTTACTCTGATACCACTAATAAAATCAAGAGCAACCAAATTCCTTTGAAGGTCATCTGTTTAGTTAAGATTTCATCTTTAAACCACTAAATTTAGGTATAGGTACAGACATTTTGTAATAATAGCATTAAGTTAGCCGAGCATAAATATGTTTAGTGATTTTCTCATAAAAAAATCTATTTTAAATTCCACAGAAATTCCAGTACCGACCTGAATGCGCGGGTGTCAATATTGCCAGCAAAGATAAACTACCTTCCTCAGAGAAGCCATCATCATCAATCTCTATTGACTTCGCCTCATATGTAATCTGGACTCAACATTTTTTCTAGGATGTTAAAAGGTATTAGGAGTTAATTATCTCATTGGGCAAAACTAAACCATTCATTCAATTTTCCAACTCTTTTGACACTTGTTGGTGTTTCCCTTTTGCATTATTTATGCCAAAACAGGCAGTCTCGATATCATGGTTCCCTTTTGGTTTAATAACTCCAAAATAATTCTTATTTTCACTATATTTCTCTCTGTTCTAATAATACGTAAAGCATTTTTTTGTTTTTGTTTTTTTTTTCAGTCTTTTCTGCATTTTTAATAAGGATAAGTTGTACATATATCTTTTCAGTCTGTTAGTGTTTAAAATAACTATACTATAAATAAAACACAAATAACAGTGAATAAAATGTTATTTTTTTACAGCATAGATCCCAACGTCGGAAACAACTGGGGGTTAATCTCTTTTTGGCTGAAGATCATGTGATTATATGAGGAAGATTTCTATATGATCCTTTTATACACACTCAGATTGTTTCCTTTGAACATTTTGAAATCCAATCGGCATAAAATGCAGACGTATGTTCTTTGAGGGTTCAATTTCAGGGCACACAGACACATCCGTCTGTGCTGCATGGGATGGAACAGATTTTTCTCAACACTTCCCAAAATCCTTTAGGTGCTTCTTTTGGCATGATTGGCTTCCTTTATCCCCTCATACATCATCCATCACCTGGCTTTATGCCAATACTGCGAGAGGAAGCTAATCTAGTTTGAAAGATTAAAATGACTTCCATGACGTTAATTTATCATGGAGCGATACCTTAAACAAATTCACATTTAGATCCCATCTGCTGTATCAGATTTCAACGCCCCTTACGCCGTCTCTTTATATCCGAATGAAAACTTTAGTATTTAATATGTAACCTTGATACGAGGGTCAAAGGTACAAATGATATTAGCTCAAATGTGAACTTGGTTTACTATGTGGATCCAGGAGGATTTTATTTATGGAAAGGGCATTTAAAGTGGAAAAGGGCTTTTGGATGTTTAAAACTTTGTAATTATTCTTGTATGGATAAAAGAAACCCCAGAATAGTGGTTGGAGCAGTGACCACCATACCGGCCCCTATACCTTTATGAGCACAGACAGTCCACATCCTGTTAGTCATTATGTACATTTTCTATATATTTCACATTTGAACTTTTAAATGAAGTGCTGTTAAAAGTATTTGCTTCAAACTCAAATCTTGTGTTAGATGCCAATGTTTTCTTTTAACAATGATAAATATTCCACAGAAAAGATGGTGCACATTTATATATTTAGTCTTCCCTGAGTCAGCAGTTTATAGAACCACATTTAGCTGAACATTTATTTTTGCAAAATGGCTCTGGTTATATTTGATAAAAAGAACAATTTTAATATCACTGTTAAAAAAAATATATAGATGCATTGTGATTGTACACATGGAGTTATTTTCCTCTGCACACACAGGTGTCCTTTATTTAGGGGTATTCTAAATAATAGAGTTGATTATCAATCTTATGACTAATTTTTCATTTACTCAGTTGAAAAACATTTGAACACCTGATGTCTGATGCACCTACTTCTCTGTGCACTGCTTTGTGTCGGTCTATTATGTTAAATGCTAATAAAAAAATAGAATAGAATAGAATAGAAAATCTCTATTGTGCCACAATGGGTGAATACCGGTGTTTACAGCAGCAAAAAGATTATAGAAACAATGGTCACATAAATGTGGACCTTAGAAAAATAACAATATCATATAGAATAACAATAGAAAAGCGTATAAAAATAAAGAAATAAAATACTGTACTGTAAAGTGTTTTAACAATATAAATACTGTGCACCTGGAGAATAAAAAACCAATATGCAGCAATGGATTTTTGAAAAATAGCAGCAACATCAGAGATGTGCAAAATGACAGCAGGATGTAATTTAACTGACTAAGGTAGAAACTGTGCAAAATGAGCATGAATGTAACAACTTATTGAAACACTGATGATTGGGTTTTTACACTGGCAAAGATTGAGATTTGCAAGCTAATAGAAAGACAGTGGGGTTATATTTAAGTCTGTGCGTAAAATAAAAAGATAGCAAACAAATTAAATGGAGAATATTCTTTTTTTATTTTCTCTTCCAGGTTCTGCAGACACCATACGGATCCAACAAAAAAAACAAAAAAAAGATCAATATCAGAATTATATGTTGCTTTGCTAAATAAGAACACTTTAATTAACTGTTTGTAGGACAAATATCTTAAAAAATACAGTTCACATGATTTTATTGGAAAAACTCCCACAACCTCTCAATAAGAAGTGTCTAATTAAAACAAGGCAGTAGAGTACTTGTGCAGTTGGTTGAGGAGCGTAATTAGCAGAAAACAAGAACCGCTCAGCTGTATCTGTGCTAAATCCAAGCTGATACTTGACAACATTTCATCGACCCTGATTAATGGGATTTCTCCAGAGATCCCAGCAATGAATGAGTCAGGCGATAAGTTAGAGGAAAGGAAAGCATGCCAAACATGGAGATCAAACAATGCAACGGTTCCTTTTAATGCTGTATTATATCCTCTAGATGAAAAACTCAAGAGCATTAAAGGGTCATTGATGACGCTTTAGTCTGCCTTGT